AATGTTTAAAAAAAGAATCCTTTATCAAGCAAGGTTGTCATTCAGAATAGAAGGAGAGATAAAGGCTTTCCCATACAAACAAAAACTAAAGGAGTTCATGACCACTAAGCCAGCCCTGAAAGTGATCCGAAGGGGTGCTCTGCAAGTGGAAAGCAGCAAAGCAACAAAGACTACAAAGCAGCAGAAACATAATCACAAGCATGAAACCTACAAATAGAATAGTGACACTAAATCCGTATCTTTCAATAATCACTCTGAATGTAAATGGACTAAATACTAAATCAAAAGACACAGGGTATCAGAATGGATAAAAAACCAAGATCCATCTATATGCTGCCTATAAAAGACTCATTTTAGACCTAAAAGACTCATTTTAGACCTGAGGACACCTGCAGATTGAAAGTGAAGGGATGGAAAACCATCTATCATGTTACGGGATGTCAAAAGAAAGCCAGAGTAGCCATACTTATATTAGACAAACTAGATTTCAAAACAAAGACTGTAACAAGAGATGAAGAATTATATTAATTATATTTAATTATATATTAAATATATAATTATATCATAATTAAGGTGTCTATCCATAAAGAAGAGGATCAATTATAAATGTTTATGCCCCCAATGTGAAAGCACCCAAATATATGAATCCACTACTCACAAACATAAATAAATTTACAGATAACAATACTGTGATTATTGGGGACTATTTACTATATTTGCTCTATTTACGTCAATGGATAGATCATCCAGGCAGAAAATGTTAAAAAACAATGGCTCTGAATGACACACTGGAACAGATAGACTTAGCAGATATATTCAGATCTATTCATCCAAAAGCAGCAGAATACACATTCTTCTCAAGTGCACATGGAACATTCTCCAAAACAGATCACATACTGGGTCACAGAACAGCCCTCAACAAATATAAAAGGACTGAGATCATACTATGCATATTTTCCAATCACAATGCTATGAAACTTGAAATCAACAAAACACAAAATTTGGAAAGCCTCCAAATACACAGAGGTTAAAGAGCATCCTACTAAATAATGAATGGGTCAACCAGGAATTTAAGAAGAACTTAAAAAATATATGGAAGCAAATGAAAATGAAAACACAACAGTCCAAACCCTTTGGGATGCAGCAAAAGAGGTCCTAAGAGGAAAATACATCGCAATCCAGGCCCATCTCAAGAAGCAAGAA